CAAATTTTGCCTATCTTTGCTTTTTGTATATTGAGAACAAAAGATGTGTTTACTCCAGAGCTAACGAATTTAGCTGATGAACCAATGACAGGGAACTGGATCTGAAAGAAGGGAGGAGATTTGACCACACTCTTCCAACACTGACTGGTAATATTCAAACAAGATTTGCCCTGCTCAACTCAGTCATCCAGGCTATTTGTATAACCCGAGGGAACGGCATGGAGCTGTGACAGGGGAGGGGCAGCTGGGGGTGAGGGAAAAGGTCTGCACCAGAGGGTGGAGGGCATGGAACAGCCTGCCCAGGGCTATGGGCACGGCCCCGAGCTGCTGGAGCTCAGTGGGTGTTTGGACAGTGCTGTCAGACATTGGGTTTGGGATTGGAATGGTCCTGTGTGGAGCCAGCAGTTGGACTCAATGATCCATGAGATCATTATGATTATGTTTCAAGAAAAGAACATCCAGGTCACTTATGAGTTGAACATATAAGAGACATGGGAGGGGAAAGAGTTGTTCCAATGGATGCCATACCAAGGGAGGTTCCAGGACTCAAGGCCAACCTGAAGCATTATCTCAGCTACATTACAGACCAGAACGCGTCCAGCACAGGCTCAAGTTCTTCACCATCAGGTCTGGATGTCTGCTTGCAAAAAGGGCCATGTCCACTACATATCAATATTGCAGGGATCAAGAGGATCAGTTCATACAAACTCGTTCTTTACCTCATAACAGCATATTAAGGTCACAGTTAAGGAAATGTGGAAGACAACACAACCTGGGCCACCGGCTTCTGTGCTGCCATCCTTCATTCCAGACCGCTTCAGAAAGGATTCTTTACATTTGAAGCATGTCTTGGCAACATCAAATCAAAGATTAATTTAGCTGCTGTGCAGGCACATCTGTGGCTTAATAAATGGTCCTGTAACTTTTATAAAGGTGAGCAAAATTATGCTTCTCTTCTACTCAAAAAAAACCAATAACAACAACAACCGAGCAGTATTCCCTAGCTAAAGCTAATTGTTAAGTATTCTCTTCTTGTCATCCTGTAACAGTCCAGCACACAAACTAATATGCTTGGCTGAGCTTTGGCTGGCAGCGCTGAGTCAAATGACCTCCAGCTCACTTCAAACATCTCTGTGAAGATGGATGTGGGCAACGACCACAGGCAGGAGCCCACAGAGGTGCAGTTCCCCTCAGTGCACACTGCTAAGGGACGGCACCTATGGCAAGAGGCAGCACAGCAAATGGGGACAGTCACCTCTTCATCTGCCGCAGCAGCATGTGCCAGAATTTGTTCAGCCGAGCCCACAGACTGAATAACAATTAGCTAAGACTAAAGCAGTCTTAAACAACCAACAAGAGACACCCTGGCACATGAAACATGCACTAACAGGAGCACCAGAGCCCATTGGTACAAAGTTGGAATCCTGCCCTCCAGTGCAGTGACATTCTCAGCCCCTACTTCAGAAAATCAGACTTGTAGGCATTAACAATTCCTGTATCCACCTTTGTTGCTTGCACATCAGTACAGAGCTACTTTTTCTCTCTTGCTGCCAATAATTGCAGAATGACCTTCAGTTTTTGCACCACTGACAAATGCAGTTTATTGACAAAGACAGAAAGCAAGCAGACTTTACAGTAAACTTATGTTCTTTACTAACCTTGTTTGACAACTACATCAACTCATCAAAGATGAGCATGTCCAGAGAAGAGCAGCAAAGCTGTGAGGGGTCCTGAGCACGAGTCTTATGGGGAGCAGCTGAGGGAACTGGGACTTTTCAGGCTGGAGAAGAAGAGGTTCAGGGCAGAAGTGATAGTTCTCTACATGCCCTGAAAGGAGGTTGGGTGTTGGCCTCTGCTCTCAGCTAACAGTGATAGGACAAGACGGAGTGGCCTTGAGTTGTACCAGGGGAGGTTCAAGTCGGTTATTGGTAACATTTCTTCTCAGACAGAGTGGGGAGGCATTGGCACAGGGTGCCCAGAGGGGTGGTGGAGTCACCATCCATGGAGGTGTTCAGGAACTGTGGAGATGTGGCACTGAGGGATGTGGTCGATGGCACGGCGGGGATGGGCTGATGGTTGGACTAGCTGATCTTAGTGGTTTGTTCCAACCTTAATGATTCTATGACTTGTTATCAAGGATCATAATGTATTAGAGCAACCCTAAACTCAGGTCATTCAAAATTAGCGAGCCCATGCAAACAATAAGAGAATCCTTCTGTTTTCTTGAAGGTGCTTTGAACAAAACGCAAGCTGTTTAAGTAACAAAATACTGAGCTGCAGCAGTAGCTATTCACTGTGAACCCTTTGTCATTTATCAATAAAACACCATCAGAGACAGGCAAGCTTCCTCACTAAAAAGTGAACAAGGGGCTGGGATGTGCGGTGCACAGAGCAGAGGGCAGTGCTTCCCAGGGCTGGCAGAGAGCCTCTGTTTGGCCTCAGCTGCAGGCAAACTGCTGGGAGCAGCCCAGCTCCATCGCAGGCACTCAGTGCATCCTCTGGCAGAAATGCAGCAGTGCTTCAAGGGACACTGACTTTTTTTTTTTTTTCCCAGCATAAGGTCTGATATCTGAAAATCCCCATTTAAGAACTGTTATGACTCCTGGAGCTGCAACTTCTGACAAGTCCACAAAGAGGAACCCCTCTGAGTGATTCTAAGCTGGCCCAGCCCACTGACAGCCTTCTCCCACTGCTTTGAGACAAGATCTGACCCAAGAAGGATGATGCTCTCCTTCAGAGCACCCCAGGTCTCTGGACTATCAGCAGAGCACCTGAAAGCAAGAAGCACCTTCAGGTCAAATCTCTCCTTCATAGAGTCATAGAATCATTTGAGCTGGAAGAGACCCCCAAAAGCCATCTAGTCCAACTCCTCTGCAGTGAGCAGGGACACCTACAGCTCCATCTGTTTGCTACTTAAAATAAAAGGGTGAGTGAGGCCTGTGGGGAACTGAACCATTCAGGTTTGCAGCCTCCACGCAGCAGATCCCTGAGGCTGCTCCTGAAGACCTCCATTAGATATTTTTTCGAGCAATATTCCACTGAAACCTGCAAGGCAGCCGACAGACAAGGATGGTCACAAGGTCTTGAGGATGAGATCCCTGATAAGCACACATCACCCAGCTCAGGTGATAGAGCTGGGCACTGAGGTCTGTTAGTGCCACCATCGAGCTCACACGCTCCCAGCAGCGCCCACCCATGCTACAAATTCACATGCTTGAAGCAGCGACTGAACAACAACAACAAAACCTCTCCAAAAACCACCCCACAGCTGCCCTTGTGTGGCCAAAGCGCTGTTACCCATAAGCTGTGCTTGGACTACATGCAGACTCACATAACCTCCCAAGGCAGCTGTGCCAAAACGAGGGCAGCAACACGGAGCTCGCAGGGCAGGATGCTGCCCAGCACCCAAAGCAGTGGCCACACAGGATTAATCTGATTTGTGGCCACCTTGGTTGGACCAGCAGCCCACTGCTGTGCACACACACACACTGTGAAGCTTAAATTAACTTGAGAAGCATATTTCTTTTACAGAGTGCAGCTCAGCCCAGCAATTGGACACAGGAGCAATGCGTTCATCCATCGTGGTTCATCTCCATAGAGTTGCACAACACCTTGGCAAATTTAAGGTGGAAAGAGGCGGTTTAAGTTACATCTACCTTACAGTTCTTGCTGTTTAAAAGTAAGATTAAGGCAATTTCAGAAACAAATAATCTCACGATTTACTTCTGGATCCTGACCCTAAGTCTCCTAAGGCTTAAATCCAGCTGGATGAACGAGAAGAAAAAAGGCTTTACTCTTCACCTAACTTTTAAAAGTGAGAAGGCAACACGAGGACTTATCAGCGCCGAAGGGAAACCTCAGGCTTATCCGCATGTGAATCCCGTTTCAAAAACAAACAGGGCTCGGGGCTGGCGGGGAGCCAAGCTGCAGGACTGCCTTTTGAGACCCGCATCTCAATGGGAGACCTCAGAGCAATCTGATCTGTTTTCATAACTGTAACCATTTCCAACCCCGGGCTTTCTAGCATATTAGCATTCCCTTCTTTCAAGCAAGTTAAAGCAACAGCCGGTACAAATGAAGGCAAAACAAGCACGGGGCGCTGTGGATAAAATACAGCGTTTCAAAAGATTTAGGAAAGACAATAAGCACCGCCCGTCTTATCTGCTGCCAAGAAACCCTTACAGAGACGGAGAATCGGTGAAAAAAACACTGCAACGCGGCATTTCGACAGCACTAAGAAGCACGGCTCTTAGATCTACTGCGTAGCTTTATTTTTACAGGACCTATCATAGACTCTTTTACATAACTTAAACGATTATCAAATAATCTCCTGTACACAATGAGAGCGAGCCGCATTTCTTTCCGAGCTTTGACACATTCCTGAAAGACATCCAGCCGTCTGCAGGGATGGCACAGCCGTGGTACGCTTCTGTCCACAACCGACGCTGTCACTTAAATTCTGCTCGCGCGATCCTGCGAGACACCGTCAGATTTCAGCGCACCCCACATTGCGGCAGCGGCGTTTGTGTCGGTTCGCTTTTGCTTCCTTCTCGCTCCGCTTTGTGTCCTCGGCTGCAAATCCAGCGGGGCCGCCCGCAAGGCTGGGGATGGCGCTCAGCACGGCACGGAGGTCGTTGACTCGAGTTTTACTTCCAAACCGAACTCGTTTACAAGCGGTCGCGATGTCACTTCGGACGCGTCCGTCGCGTCCCGTCCGCCTACTGGCACGCAGCCCTACCGCACGCTAACGCTCGCTAGAAAAACACCTGAAGGAATCGGACGGGCCGGTTGTATGGGAGCGACGCGGCCGAAGGAGGAGCACGGAGACGCCCCCGACGCCGGTGCCCTTCCAGCGGGAGCCGGGGCCGCTTCTGGGGGTCCGCCAGCCCCGCCCCTGCCCGAGGCGGGCGAGCCCAGCTCTCCTCGCCGCCCCGCGGGTCCCGGCCGCGGCCCCGCGCCGCTCCCTCGCCCTTCCTTCGTCCCCCGCGGCCGGCCCCGCCCTACAGCCCGGTGTAGGCCGCCCGGTGGAAGCCGCCGCCGTACTCGTAGGGCATCTGCGGGGCGGGCAGGGGGCACTCGGGGAAGAAGGGCCCGAAGGCGTCGCCGCCGACGGCCGGCTCCGGGTACAGCGGGCGCAGCGCCTCGGCCGGCGCCTTCTTGGCGGGGCTGCAGGGCCCGGGCGGGCTCCAGGGCGGCTCGGGGTACGGCAGCCCGCCCAGCAGCGGGTGCGGAGCGGCGGGCAGCGGCGCGGCCTCGTACAGCCCGTGCTCCAGCCCCAGCTCGGCGGGCGGGCGGGCGGCGGGGAAGGCGTCCTGCGGCGGGGCCGCGTGCTCGGGCAGCAGCGCGCCGTAGTCGGGGCCCAGCAGCTCGAAGAACTCGGCCGCCTCCGGCCCGCCTCCCTTCTCCGTCTCCTTGGCGCCCGGCTCGGTGAAGAAGGAGGGCGGCAGGTTGCGGTCCCGCAGCGGCACCTTCCGCGGGCCGCCTCCCGCCGCCCCTCCGCCGTCCGAGCCCGCCGAGCCCCGGCCCGGCTGCAGGGAGCCGAAGAGGGCGGCCAGGCTGCGGCTCTGCAGGCTGCTGCCCGCCTGCGAACCCTCCCGGCGCGGCGGCGGCGGCGGTTTGGGGCAGGCGGGGGTCGGCGGGGCGGCGGGCGGCGGGGCGATGATGCCGGTGCAGCGCTTGATCTGCTTCTGCAGGTATTTCCTGTGGTTCACCTTCCGCTTGGATTTCACCGGCTTGTCCAGCGCCAGCTTGATGTTGCTGGAGGCAGAGTCGATGAAGCTCAGCAGGTCCCGGGTGGCTTCCTTAAAGTCCCCCGCCTCGCCGCCGCCTCCTCCTCCTCCCTCGTAGCCCTTCTCCAGGTCGGCATAGCCCAGCAGGCCGCCGGCGGGGAAGCAGAAGGAGAGGAGGTGATGCGGGCTGAGCAGCGCGGCGGGCACGGCCATGGCCGGCGGCGGGGCGCCGCGGCGCCGAGCTCCGCAGGGCTGCACCGGGATCGGGGCGGCGGAGGCGGCGGCGGTGGGGAAAAAGCGGCGGGCGGGAGAGGAGGAGGGACCAGCGCGGGGCCGGGCGCGGGCATCCCCGCCTCCCGCCGACAGCGAGGGGCCGGGCGGGCGGGGACGGCGATGGGGGCGGGTGGGTCGTGGCCCGGAGAGGCAGGTGCGCGGGCCTCCGCAACGCTGCGCCCCAAAATCGGGGCGCTGCACCGGCTGGCTGCCTCGGAGCACGTGTGCACGTCGACCTGGACCAAAGCGGTGCGGTCCCTGCACAGGAAGGCTACAGAGAAAGATGGGGAAGGGTCTGAGGGCGAGGAGTGTGAGGAGCTGCTGGTGTGCTCAGCCCAGAGCAGAGCAGGCTGAGGGGAGGCCTGATGGCGGCTGCAGCTCCTCACAGGGAGCGGAGGGCAGCGCTGAGCTCTGCTCTGTGTGACAGCGACTGGGCCTGAGGGAACGGCATGGAGCTGTGACAGGGGAGGGCGGCTGGGGGTGAGGGAAAGGGTCTGTATGAGTTTGTATGTCCACATATGAATAAAGAGGCATATCTGGTTTTGACTGAAATGGATTTCCTTCATCTGCACCGATTCATTAGAAACGCAGCAGAATGGAAAAGCCAGAAAGCAAAAATGTGGAAGAAAAGGGCGGCAGGCTCCTTCCTCAGACTGTGCTTAGTGGGAGAAAGGAAAGTCCAGCCAAATTCGCCCACTGTGGTTTCCAGCACTGGTTGAATGCAGAACTAACAAGTATTGGAGTGAGAAAAGAGGAAAGCACATATTTCATGTGACAAAAAAAAAGGCTCAGCATTCTCTACAAAACCAAAGTGCTGATTTTCTCAGTGTCTCACGCAGCACCTCACTGCAGCAGCTTGCTCACAGCAAGTTTCAGCACAGAATTGGAACACTCAGATTGTTTCCAAGGGTGCATTTCCAACCTGGTTTGGCTGCAGCCAAAATCTCTGCATGGAGAGGATCGATCCCCGTTTCAGAGGACAAGCTATGGGAAACGTATATCTCTCCACATAAGAATGGCAACATAAGAGGTGGATTTAAACTGCTTAGCTCGAGTACAGCCGACACGGATTAGCTACCCTCAGGTCCGTCAAGCCCTGTCAAGCTTTGCAGCCTGCTCTGAGCTCCCTCATTGATGGGGAAATGTAAAGAACAACATACACATCCCCTGCATTCTCCGCTGGGCAGCTTTGAGACCGTTTGAAATTGCACCGGAGCCTGGAAAATAGGACATCAGTATCTGCCCAGCTCAGGGCCATTCCTAACCTGGCCAGCGTGACCCAGCATCTGAACTGTCCTCAGGTTGGGAGCTGCTTTGGTGTTACTGCAGCAGTATTTCATAGCAGCCCTAAAGGGGCTTGCTAATGAGGCGGGGTGGCATTGTATGCAGAGTGGCTAAATATCCGGTGGCTCAGAGAAAGAAGCTGAAAGCCCTGGCTTGTCTTCTGTAAGGCTGAATTCATTCAATTAAACAGCTTTGAGAGCTCAGAGATGGCTTAGTGGGAAACTTTATTACCTCCGAAAAATTGGAGAGCATTAAAACAATTGTCAGGCATGCAAAGCAAAGTTTGCATTCAGTCATGCTAGGCGGCCAAATTTACATATTCTAGACCAGGTCTGGAGCTTTAGAAAGCCTTCATAATTGCATTAAACATGCTTATTCTCCATGTTCTCTCAAGCAGAGCTGATTACCTCAAGTTGGGCAGCGCCTGGAGGGAAATTTGCTAAGCCACATGATGTAACAACTTGCACAGAAATCTCATTTCTTCCAAGGAAGTAGCGGTTTGGTTATTTCCACAAAACACCTCTCGTGCCCAGTGGCCATGCGAGCCAAAGATCGTCTTCTGCTTGCACTTGCTCAGCCTAAGCACGGCAGCAAGCACTGATCTGCAAGCTGGGATCAAACATGGAGGTACTTGGGGAAGATGTCCTGCTGCCTCCAGGCCACTCTGAAAATTAAACCAGGGTTGTGCAGGCAGCAGAGCTGGCTTTTTCCAGCAGCACACTGACAGCCCAAGCTTAAGGGGGGGCAGGGATGCACGGTGCCTGCTGGCACAGCAGATCCAGCTCCTTGCCACACAGCCGGCCTCTGGTGAGGAAACAGTTTGTTACCCCTGCAGGCTGAGCAGGCCAGGAAAGGTTGCCTTGGGCAGAGCAAAGCAGTAAGCCTTGCCCAGCTTTACAGTGTCAGCTGCAAGCACTTGCAGAAGCCCTCTCGATGCTTGTGAAGTCCTGACCCAGGGATGGGCAGTAGAATCCAGCCCACAGGAAACATCTCATGCCAAGAACATGAGCAAGAAGCATCCCAAGCTTCATCCCATTAGCACCAAACCTCCTCTGGTAGAAGGCAAACCAAGCCCCCACTCTCCAGCACTCCTTTTCCTCTCACCGCAGCATCAGGAAGGCAGCATGAAAGCAGGAACATCTTTGCAGAAGGGAAGGGAGGATTCTTTTTTTTCGTGCCCCCTTATACAGACCGATATGGTTATGAAGGTATGGCAAAGTCTCACTGCCCAAACAGGTGTCACTATCCAAAACTTACTGTCTCACTTCCTGATCCTGTCGTAATCTGCGAGTTGGTTGTGCAAGTTGATTTCTTGCACATTCTTATATCAGTGGGAATTTCTGCCCTTCCCTGACAAGTATTATAGGCAGCCTTTGACATACAGCCCTACAGGACCTAAATAGGCTGCTATTCTTTCCCTACACTGAAAGGGAGCTTTGTGCCAGGGATTCATTAAACTGCACTGCACAGCCCTTCATAAATGGGCTCAATAATGAACAGTCGATTTAACTGGAAAAGCTGCTGGAGCTGTTAAATTAAAGGGAAATAAAGTGCACTTCAGGCTCAGTCTGCCAGAAGAAAATGTTGACCTAAAAAAAATCTTCATTTCACCGAATCTCTGCAAACAGGATAAAAAACTTCAAGAAGTTTATGCTGACAATTCAGAGAAATGTTAAAAGACAACAATTTACTTCTTTGCTAATAAAGACAGAAAAACTGATGATAAAATCTTCAGTAAAATCAGAAGTGGGGTTGAAGGGCATATTCCACAGAAGCCAGGCAGAGTGACTGTATCTACCTAAATTCAGTGTATGTGCACAGATACAGGGTGCTGTGGCTTACCCAGTTCCTATCTGCCTGAAATCACTACATATTATAGAAGCTTTCTAAGGTGCTCTTTTATTCAAATTAACTTATTATCAGACATGGGAATGCAGACTTAGCACCCTGCAGATGAAGCCCTGTTTCCCTCTTGCAGCCTCTGGATTCCCTTGCCACAGTTTCCCATTCCTTCCCTTCACCTCGCTGTGTTTTTCATGTTCTTCTGGAATATGTTCCTCCCTGAATACAGTGGGATTTTTCTGGTCCAATCCCACATAGCCCAGTTCTGGGATCATGTTATGTGTAAGACATCTGGGTGGTTCTGCCCATGTGAGGAGTGCAGGACTCAGACAAAACATGGCCCACATGTTCTAGTCGTCCTGGATGCTTAGAATGGTCCATCACTCAGCTGGGCCTGACTCACCTCCTGGTTTTATGGGTGGAATTCCCTATTTCAGTCAGGTAGCTGGGGCTGCTTAGTGGTGAATCAGCTCTTCCATCAGAGCCATCTCATCCTCCCTCACCTGAACAGTCCTAGGCATTGTTCCACAGCTGTGTTACACACCTTATCTACGATCTCATGGGAAGAGAGGTTGTGGAGCCCCCTTCTCTAGAGATAATCAAGACCCACCTGGACGCTTCCCTGTGCGACCCACTGTAAGGAAGCAGGGAAGTTGGACTGGGTGGTTTCTAAAGGTCCCTTCCAGCCCTTACAATTCTGTGCTTCTATGATTCTGTGACAATTGTGAAGGTGATAGAAGCAAGCTTTCAGGTCATTGCTGAAGTTACCTTTAGTAGGTTCAATATTTTTTCATACATTTGAAAACATGAGCATTCAGGAAGAGAATTAGCTACAAGGTATCAGTCTTCTACTAAATTTTGCATAATTATCCATGGGACCTCGTGGCTCCCTGAGAGGTTCTGCTAGAAGGTGCTGTGTGGTTCTGGGGAGGAGAGATGCTCCTTGAAGCTTACTTAACACAATAGGCGAGGATTTAGGAAATGATGCAAAAACAGTCTTCATTTATTTCCAAGTGGTCACTGAAACTGAAGGCACACTCCCAGTAAAGCCATTGCCATCGAGTGTCATTGAGTGAGTCAGTGAGAGTCCCAACCTCTTTGTCCTCCATTTGAGAATAACCAATTTTCTTGAACCATGCAACTCCATGCCAAAATCTTCCTATGATGTATGGCATCTTCTCTCTGTGTAGCTAGAATCTCATCAGAGCTTTTTCTTCCTCAGGGCTCAGCCCTTCTTCCCTCTCCAGCTTAAGAAAATGCTTCAACCATGCAGATGAGTCCCTAATTTGGAGGTGACCTCAGGTACTTGAGCCCATGGCGATGCTATCATAAATCTTTACTCCTTTTTGTCTCTTAAGCAAACCTGGCACAGCCACAGCTCATCCAGTGCATCTGCAGAAATGTAGCTACCTCCAGCACCTCTGGAACTGCTCTGTTGCTTCACTCTGTGCTGGGGCTCAGGTACTGAAATGGTGGTATTTACTAAAGAAAACTTTTTTTTTTTTTTTTCTGGTGTGTTATAATTGCTATGAGATATCTGCATTACTGGATCATCTTTCTCACCCAGAAGGCTCCAGACCATAAATCAGCACAACAGAAGCCAGCACAGAGTGTCAGCCACCTGAGTTAACCGTTGGGTTTCAATGGGATTATTCTCAGGCTGGGTTTTGAGCATATCTTGCTGGGCAGAAGTCTTCATTCACAGCAGAAAACATTCAAAACCACTTGGTGGTACAGAGCTACCTTTTGAATGTTCATAGTATTTGTCAGTGTTTAAGACAGAAATTGCAATGTCTTAACTATGTATAAATTAC